CCGAGGCGGCAGTGGCTCGCCCGACACACTGCAAGCTAGCCTACAGGCGCACGGCCCACCCTGCTACGCGTAGACCTGCTGCATGGACGACGCGTGCACAATGTGCGACGCTTATCTACGCACGAGGTGATGTGCAGACAGGCCGCCTGTGCGCGACATGACATGCGGAGGTTAACCCTGCTCCGCCTCGCACGCACAGTGCACGCGCGCCCACGTGGACAACCTTTTCATGCGGGATTTTCTCCCGTTTTTTCATTTTTCTGAAATTTGTTTTTAAAAAATAATTAGATTAAAATAAAATTAATTAAAATTAACTAAAATTAAATTAAATTAAATCAAAATAAATAAAAATAGGTATAATTTATGAATTACGATAATAATTTGCAGAGTAAATTAAATGAATTCAATGTGATCTAAACACCCAAATAAAATAGAGTTTTCCAAATAAATTAAGCACAGTGATAGGCAGGGTGTTACAGAAAGAGGAAAGAAAAAAGAAAATAGAGTAAGAAACATTAAAATCGAGAGTTTGTTATTTTGAAAAATATTAAAAATTTTGGGACAAATTTAATAAAAAATATATTTAGGACTAAAATAGTAAATAAATAAAAATTTAGAGATTAAAATAATAGTTTATCTCAAAATTAATAATAAATATTGAAATAATAAATAAATTACATAACAATAAGAATTTTAGTTATTAATCTTTTTTAGTAATTTAAATATTCTTTGAAAAGTATTTCAATTTAATTATTTTATCTCTTTTATGCAATATAACTATTAAGTAGATTAGAAATATTAAGTTTTAAAGTAAATTTATTGTGACAATTATAACAAATATAAAATCTTTAAGAACAAATTAGTATTATATTTCATTTTAAAGTATAAAATCACTCAATTATTAATATATAAACTGAAAAATATACTCAAATATTATTGACCTTCTATGGTAAAAATTATTTTTCTAAAAATATTTATATTTAGTTTTTGACTTGAACTTTTTTACAAGTTAAAAAAGTAGATTCTAATTTTAATTAGAATTACTTTTGTTTGATTATCTTGCGAAATTTTCTATTTTAATAGTAAAGATATAGACAAAGTTCTTGTCAAACAAATGCTTATTCATCGTCCAATTATTTTTATGATAATAATTTTGTAGTTTCTATAAGTACTTTATTAAATATGGAAGGTTAATTAAAATGTAAAAATGATATACTAGTATAATAAAAAGATATTAGTTTATTTAAAAATAAAATATTAAAAAGTCCTTTGTCTAAAATAAGATCTAATTGATATTGTAGTTCATTCTTTATATTGTGATGTAGAAATTTTATTTTATTTTTTTGAGATATGGATTATTAATTTTAATTAAATTTTATCATTCAAAAAATGATTGATATTATATGAAATTTAAAATTTTTTTATGACGATAAAATTTTAAATTTGAGATATGTTTAGGAGCGATAATTTTATGTTTAATAGATATTACACTTATAAAATATATAATTAATCAATGATTATCAAATTTAGATAGTTTTACATCATATTATATTTAATGAATATTTTTTACTATATTTTATCTATTTTGATTCATAGATTGTGTAATCAAGTACCATACATATTAACTAGAGAGACCAATAATTTGTCTAAAGCTGCCATTAGTTCTAGTTTCCATGTTTATATTTCATGCATGTTTTTTTGCATATTTTCTTGTAATTTTTTTTTATAAAATGGATGATAGAGGAAAGAACATAATAAATAGAAAAATGTTCTCTTTTTGTTTGGTTTCCAAGGTGGAGTGATCATGTGTTACACAACAAAATTAAAGGTATAAAATATAATTTTGCCTTATACTTCTATTATTAAATGTAATAAGCATGAAAAGGTTCAATTTTCCAATAATAAAAACAACGTAAGTTATAATAATTTGGTCACATATGAGTATTATAATCAATTAAAAGTTTATTAATAAAAAAGTAAAATTGTAATGTAGTTTATGTATCATTTTAATTTTATTAGATTTCTTCTAATAAAATTATTGTAGATTGTAAATTAATTTATCATAGTATATTGTAATGTTCAGCCGCCAAACTCCGGCCGGTCCGGTCGGCCTCTAATTGAAACTTACGGACCGTTTCGGCTGAACCCGGAAAACCCCATTTCAAACACAAAAACTAGGTTGTTTCGGAGCCAGCGAGGGAAAGAGAAATCAAACGCAGAAACAATGTCAGGTTTTTCGCTCCCATCTCAGTCATCCTCTTCATCACCGTTGGCATTCGGATCTTCCACAGCCAGCAGCGGATTGTCATTCGGATCTTCGTCTTCGTCAAACCCTAGTTCGTCCTCCTCCTCGTCTTCTTTCACATTTTCCTTTGGCACCTCCTCAAACCCTATCTCGGCCCAGTCTCCCTCTTTTGGGTTGGGATCATCTTCCTCTTCATTTTCTTTCGGGTTTGGTTCCACCCCCGCCGCGGCCGGTTCCGCTCCATCTGGCTCATCTTTGTCAACTGCTAGTCCCGCTTCTGCTCTGTTTGGGGCGTCTTCTTTGGCGTCAAGTTCATCTTCGACTCTGTCCAGCTCTGCTTCATCCGCGGCGAGTTTTCCTTCGCCCTCGTTTGGCACATCTAGTTCTTCTCCCTTGTTTGGAACAGCTTTGTCCACTGCAACATCTACGTCGTCTTTGTTTGGGACGGGATCGTTCACGCGAGCTTTTCTTCG